ATGTTTTTTTCAGTAATCCAAGAGCAGCACATGCATCAAGGAGTCTTTCAGTTCCACACACAGAGGTTCCAACCTCATTTGCAATATCCACAGCCTTCACTGGACCTTTATCCTTCAGATGGTCAAACATCTTCAGCTTAGAGGCTACAAACAGAGCCTACATGTGGGTTAAAAATTGTCAGTATGCTGTGTTTTAAAGACTGCAATCAAAAACTATACCTTTTGCTCAGAAATATTTCATGCAACTACTGTTCTTAAAGTGCAATGCAGTTTAACAAAACTCCTAAAAATTGCTTCCTTCCCTCTCAGAGGGTTTCAGTACCTTAGCCAAGTAACAGAATTTATAACAGCGGTGTTTCAGAGAGAAGGGAACTCAAAATATTCTGGAGTGCAGCCTATAAACCTTGTATGAAGACCATTTTTGTAGTCAGATATTGAGCATATCCCCATCTATAAGACTGTTCTATAAGGTCAAACATTCCTAAGCACATGAACAAATACCAAAATATCAAATTAAATTTGGTTTACTGAAAACACAGGGAACTGGAACTCTCCACTAGGGCAGTGTAACAGCTTCAGTTGCTATAATACAGGTCTTTATTACAATTAAGAAAAAGAAAAAATTAAGGAAAGAAGACTAAAACTTCACAGCACAACTGCACTACATGTACACATGGAATGAGAACTAGAGAAGAGCTAGTGCCTGATGGTGAAGAAAAGTCCATGGGCAATAGCTAAGTTGAAAATATGAGCTGAAGTTGTAAAGATATGCTACCCAAACCAGAGGAAAGTTAATGAGATGTGATAATATATACCTCTGCATTTGAAATTAACTTGCAATTATACAGTTTCAGAATTCTGAATGACTTAAAACCCCTAAAAGCAAGGAACTTATGTAGTGCTCAAGGGTGAAGGCACACAGAGTAGTTGCAGGATCCATTTCTTACAACTGCAAGCAACTATAATGTGCTTAAAAATTAAAGGCAATAAAGGAAAAAATGTATTGACAATCTGCTTAATAAAAATCAAGTGGAAAAAGATTTACTTTGAGAGGAAGGTCTGCTACTGTGTGTCTATGTATTTTATCATCTTTACCCTCCTTTTGTGGCTTCCTCTGTTATTCTATAAAGAATGTATAGCTTGGATTTTTTACAGTCCAGGCTTTCACAATACTGAGCCACTTGCACCTAGTTTACAACCATCTGTCTTCCAAGACCTGCCCAATCTTTGGACTGATACCACTGGGGAACTATTAGAACAGGAAAAAAGAAGGAGAGAAGATAAAGTAAAAGACTTGTCTGATCCAAATCAATCTTTCTACCATTCTGTAACTCTCAATTCAAAGAGGGGATAAACCTCCCCCCCCCCCC